CAATTTGCATTCTTCTTACCTGTACTCAGCCACACTGCAGATAAACTTAAGGAATCTGGTCTCTGCGTATTAAATCAACAGCTGCCAGTTTCACAAAATAATCAACTCTCAATTATGCACCATAATGGCAATGGTAGAATAACCCAAATAAAACAAAACTAAGGCTGATACAAAAGGTAAATAAATTAAACAGTAAGGATAGATTTAGTGTGCTCACCTTGGAGATGCTGGTAAACAAATTCCTGTAGAGAGCAGAGGCAGCTTTAAGCAGTCAGAATGGGGCTGGGCATGATCCATGCCCCTTTCAGATGGGGTGATGTGGCCAGGAGTGATGGAGGAAGGTATGGCCTGGAGATCCACACCGTGGATAATCCATTCAGATAACACTGCAACTTGTGCAAAAAAAATATAATTCTTTTTTCATTAAACATATTATTTCTTTTAAGAAAATATGCTACTGATCCTAATCAAAGAGTGTAAATTGACAGTGAATGCTCAATGGCATTTTAAGTGAGGGAATTGTTGCTGAGAGATGGGTGTGATTTTTCTCTTTGGCAAAGAGAAAATATGCAGGTTTATGAGAGGTACAAATTCTTGTTTGGCTTTAATAAACAAATTTTGCCCAGGGCGGCAAGGCTAAGCTAAACTTTTCTCTTCCCCATCTCTAGCCATATCACTCTGCAGCTGCACAATTCTCCAGGGATAAGCTCATGGACACACTAACTAGCCCTGAAAAAAAAAAAGCTTCATTCTTTGGTTTTGGCAGTGAAAGCAATGAGAAGCAGCAAGGCAGGCACACAGGTTGTACTGAATCCTTTGGGATGGTCTCTCCCATGAACCTCCTGGGGGTAGGACCAGAGCAGCAGCCTTGCTTGTCTGTCACTATGAGGTACTCTTTCACAGCTGTGCTGCAACGACTAAGTGTATACAAAATAGTCTTGCTTCATTGGAGAAAATAAGGCTGAGTAACCACAATATCAATCAGTCCACTTGGTTTGTACTCTACTGTCTTGAAACAGTGTGATTGGGTGCCACAGTAGCTTTCACAGGTAATTAGGCAAAAAGCAAGTAAAAACCAACACAAAAAACCTGAAGATTGTAAAACACAATCTCTGACGTGCAGAAAGCTAGTATGGATGCACTATAAAATGAGATTAGAAGAAGTGGCTTGAGCTGTAGTAATTCCACCTCAAATTTTCTGTGACCAGTTACAGTTATCAAGAGGGTTGCAGTAAGCAAACTTACTAGGGACTCATGTCCTAATCTTCATGCTACTGTGGTTGAAACTGGAAAGAAACCTGATGCTATGCATGGTTTCGGTTTTGACGGCACTGATTTTTATAAACATTACAGAATATGAACATCTATACCGATACTGTTGACTTTAGCCACATACAAGGTTTAGTAACAGTAAATGCTTTAATGTTGTTGGCTTTGCTCATTCCACCTTGACAAATTATGGATGATATGTTTAATTTCCCATTACTGAACCTGACTGCTCCTTAGATTACGAGAGGACTTTTATTTTCTTTTGCTGATGAAGAACTGAGGTACATTGTAGGGCTATGCCCAAATTATATATTGGAAGGTATGGCAGAGCAGGTAACTGAAATGAGCTTTAGCTGAACCGTATCTCACTTCTTTCATGTGTAAATTCAAACCTGCCTAATTCTTCTTTGTGTATCAAATTCATCCAGTTTTCCTTCAAGAAGGAAGTCTTCAATACTCCAAGGCTCTCTTAATGTCTCAAGGTCTGAAATACCTAGCCTTTCTTCCTTGTTTCATGACCATCTGCAGGGAAATAACAACAGACTCTTGACTTCAAAAGCGAGATTGTGCTTTACATATCTGACTTTCACAAAAGATGCAAATAGTGATTTCCCTTGTATTTTTGATGTCTGAAATAAACACAGGAATCAGTTTCAGTCAAGAAGGAGAAAAACTATAACTACTGTCAAGAAGTAGGGTTAAGGTTTCCATCTCTGTTGAGGGCTGCTGGACTGTACTGTCAAGCTGACTAGAAGCACATTGTGCCCTGCAGAGACAGGCTACTTCTGAAGACAGTAATGAGAAAAATGAACTTTTTATATTTATTTACTCATAGGATTTATGAAATTATGGTTGTATTAGGGAGTTATCATCCATTTTTTGACTGAAGCTCCCAAACACAATCTGTTGCAGTTCTGTTTAAGTCTATCCACACAGTCAGCTTTATAGACAAGAGAGGTGACATAGTAAATAGGAGCTACCACCAGTGCTCCATGGACTTCCTGCTCGGCTCCCAATGCACTTCAAAGCTCTGTGGCTGTCTGGTCTCCAGCTGTCTTACAAACAACCTCTTCACCCATGAAGCATGCTGTGGGTAGGGGCAGATGTTTCACAGGAACCCAGAACACATTGTGTTCCCAGGGTAAGTTCTTGCCTGACTTTACCTCCAGGGAACAGGAAGAGCCTGAGCTGGACTGTCCTCAGAGATGTTTGCAAACTGTTCTCAGAAACAATGGCTGATGATTCATCTGGCACTGTCATCAACGATCTCCAGGCCTGCCGTTTAACAGACCTTCCCAAAATAAAGAAAGGGCACCTTCCCAGACAGAATCATGTATTTTTTTAGTAGTGAATCTACAGAGGAGTAGCTTAGGCTTAAGAGTGCTTGTAATCAAGTGATTACATATGCTTGCCCGAGGTCAGACAGTAAGCGAGTTTAGCAGCTCTGGGGACCCTTGTTCCTGTCTTGTGCTCACATGACATGAGCACACTGACTCATCCATGTGTGGGGATATATAAATGCCTTCTTATAACGTGTTTTTGCAAGTTTTAGTAATAAAGCCAGATCTGTGAGGCTGCAATCCTTCTATGGCAACAGAACACTGTCATCACCAACATTTGACTTAAAAATAGTTTGAAAAAGGAACTCAGCCTTTTTGTTTGTTTGTTTGTTTGTTTTGTTTATGCTAGTAATGCAGAAGGTCACTGGTTTAATGTGTGCAACCTTTTAAAGTTATTTCTATGAGTAAACATTTGCTGGAAGATATCCTGTCTGGGTGATATCTTTTGAGAATGCCTGAAATTAAGCTACCTAAACAAACTTTGGTGAGAACAAGACAAGGCATGGGATGGCTTTTCTGGAAGTGTACATCCTAGTACAATGACAGGCCAAGTGATATTACAATGTCTGAAAATTAAAGACCCCAGAGTAAGGAAGAGTGATGGTGTCTACCTTCTGCATTTGCTAGCAGTGAAAGGATAGTGATGACTGATGAAGACTAAGATATATTAATGAAGTAAGCTTGTACTCCTCATCAAGCATGTGAGTTGACAGAGGCTAGACATCATGCTGGCATCTCTGGGACTAAAATGTATCCAGGGATGAGAGCCTAGTAAGCACACAGTGAAGGCATCCACTAAAAACCAAACTTATGGATGTCTGCAACAGGAAATTAATGAAATATTTACCTAAGGGATTTAGAACCATGCTAAAAAACCCCAAACAAACTTGTCTACTATAGCTCCCCCAAAAATCATGTGAGAAGAGGACTAAGTATTGGACTAAAAAGGTGAAACAAAGAGAAGTGCAAATGAACAAAAAAACTTCAGCATGAGGCTAAAGGGGATCCTTGCAGTTTTTAAAATACCAATGGCTCTGTCAGAGGAAACTTCTATTTTTTCTTTACAAGCTTTTAACCAAAAGCTAGTTACCCTAATATTAAATAGGAACATTAAAGTCCTTGCAGCTCAGTTGATTTAACATCATTTTAGGCTAAAGCATATATTTTTTAGGCAGGGAACTTCAGCTTCAAAAACCCAAATCCATAAAAATCTTATTTTCTCTCTTTCTTATCTCCTTCTCTTACACATCAACTGATGAAGTCAGTTATAGGTGTTCACTTATGTTACCAAGAAAACACCAAAAGATATTTATACTGGTGCTTCAGGCAGGTGGGAGAAATGTGCTCTTTCTTGGGATGCATCAACTGACAAAAGCAAAAAGGACAAAGAAAATAAACCAATCATGAGAAAAAAACTATTGATAACAGAAGTCTCTGTTGCTGTGTCACCTTCCATGTCACATGAAAATACTTCTTCCAAAATTTGGAAGTATATTGTAAGAACATTCAGAAACATAGTGGATTTTTTCTTTCTCCTTTTCAAAGCAAAGCAAAGTTCCACCCTTGCTCTCTGTCTCTCTTTTTTTCTCCTCTCTCTTAAGGGGAAAAAAAAAATGTTTTGAGAATTTCATTTTTTCTATTCACTGCAGTCCTGGCCAAAGTAAAGCCCTCTTTTACATTGACGTCAAGATCTTTACTAAGATTAGGGTTTCATTTCTCTATTGCAGCAATTAGCTGGGGAATGTATAAAAGGCTTCAGGGAAGCAAGCTAGGACTCCAGAGGGGAGAGCACTTTGCACCATAGGCAGATAGCAAAGAGAGAGTGCGAGAGGAGGAAGGCAGGAATACAGAGACGCCGAGTAGGAGGGGGGGACGGGGGAGGCTGAGAGGGAAAGAGAGGGAGGGAAGCAGGGAGGAAGGAACAGAAAGTTTATGTACATAAACCTTTTTTTTTTAAAGTATTGTTGCACCTAGTAGCTAGCTTTACTGACACAGAAATGAGAGGTCTGTTCAGAGCTTAAATATCCGAGAAACAATGGGATAGTGCAGGAAAGTTAACAATTAACAATCTCAGCTTAAATTTTGTAACTGCAGGGAACTGGAAAAACAGCTGCCTCTCTCTTCAGCAAAATCAGGTCTCCTGGTTAAGAGAAGAATTTTTGTTAACATCTAAATTTCTGAAAAATAAGCAGCTTGCAGTTGAATGAATACCGTGCAGTTATGGTTTTAACCAGCCTGCTCATACTTAACTATCTCTGCTTATTTTAAATAGAGCAGCTGTGAAAGGGGTAATGAGGCTTTTGAAATGCCTTTTGCTTTACTCTTTTAAATGAGGGTACAGAGCAATAAAGCCAGCTGAAGGTATCCGGCTGAGGAGAAGCAGCAAGGAAGATGGGTCTGCTAAGTGTGGATTTGTTGATCACGCTTCAGATCTTGCCGGTGTTTTTCTCCAATTGCCTCTTTCTCGCGCTCTATGACTCCGTGATCCTCCTGAAGCACATGGTTCTGTTCCTGAGCCGCTCCAAGTCTGGGCGCGGTGAGTGGCGGAGGATGCTGACCTCGGAGGGGCTGCGCTGCGTCTGGAACAGCTTCCTCCTGGATGCCTACAAGCAGGTGAGGAATGCCGGGGACGGGCACGGCGGGGCTGGGGCGCCTCGGCTGGGATCAGCATCCCGCTTGGCAGCGGGGAAGGGAAGGGAATGACTGGGGGGTGCAAGCTATCACCAAGCTCATGTAAAGTCTGATGGAGAAGTATAAGCTGAAAGGAGGGGTACTTGTAAATCGGGGTTAAGGATTCGTGAAATTCTGGAGCTGTTGAATCCCTGTGCTAACTCTCTGAGCAGCCTTGGTCATGTCACTTAGTTTAGGCGTGCCTCAGTTTCCCCAAGAGCATGAATAATAATCTTCATGTTTTCAAAGTATTTCAAGGTCTTCGTTTAAGAGTAATTGTAAAATACTCTAGGTGTTTTCACAGCTGTAGTTTATTATTGCCATGTGAGAGCCCCAGATATCATAAAAAGACTGCATCTTCAGATAGAGCTCTACATAGATAGATGTTAGCTGTGTAACTAGAGTTGTTTTACCTAGAGTAAAATATAGACATGAACCATTGTCATCACACTGGCATTTTCTATTACTCATATATTAACTTTTATATTGGAGAAGGTATCCAAGTAAAACTATGCACCTTTTTTCTTCATGAAAGCAGTGACAGAGGGACATGTCAGAGATTAAAAATGAACTTGACTAGCTGTCGGACAGCTACCTGGTGATTTAAGTTAATAAAGCTAGTATCAGTTATGCAACATGTACTTTTTTTCCTTTTAAGATTTCTTACAAGCATTACCCAGTGGTACTGCCCAGGTCTCATGAGGTAGCTGGAATTCCCTTTTATAGATTGAAAAGGTGAACCCAAAACCATGAAATTTCTTGCACAGACCACCCAGTTAGTAAGTAGAACTGGATTCAGAGCTCTGTGGCTTTCAAAACAGCGCTTAGTCTGTTAATTTGTTGTCTTATTTAGACCATCTAATTTAACATACTCCATGTGATGTCCAAATGATACTCTTCTGAAATATTTCTTTTTGTATTGCCTTCCCCCCAATTTGCTTTCACACCTCTTCAATAGCCTTTGTATTTGCTCTTATCTAAAAATGTGAAGAGCTGGTGATGCTGGTGTTTGCTGGCTTTGTGATATGGAATACCATCTGCTTAGCCTGAAAGTCAAGCCATGGGGACATTAATTTTCAGTGTAAGACAAATATAAATAACTTAAGCTTTTGCCAAATGGGTCAACCTCTTACTGCAACCCAGGAATCATCCAGCTGGCTACCCAAATAAAATAATGCTGAATGAAGTCCACTATTCTCCTAGCCCTTCTAGTCTTTGTTTTTATTCTCTTCATAGACATTAAGTAAGTACATTTTACAGTGGCCTTGTTAAATGGGTCACTGAACACAATTGTTCCCATTTTACAGGCAAGGCAAGGCAGGACAGTTAACACATGACTTGGTCAAGGTTCCAATGGAAGTTGGTAGCACAACTCTTCAACAGTCAAGTTTTGAATTCCCATATTTGCAACCTGTATGTGGCCTGGGGTCTGGAGAATTTGTGAAGCTGTAGGAAACCTTATATCCATGAGATATTTTCAATCTCTTTTTGCTTAAATTACACACAATTATTTAAAATTAAGATATTGCATGCCTTTCTGTAGTCTCCAAAGTCATGCTTTGCCTTTCTTTCAGTATCATCATGCTAACCATGGGAGTGACAGGTATGGTGACTCCGCTATTTTTGGTGTTGGCAGTGAAACTCATACCTTGAACTTTGGTAATTTTATTCTCTCCCTTATCAGGACTAAATCAGCTGGGTTGTTCAGGTCGATCAGGCCATAAGGTTCCAAGAATAAACTCTGTGCCTCAATGAACTCAGCAGAAAAATACATATAAACACAACCAAATTTTATCACCTTGTTCCAAAAAGAGATAAAAGTCCATTCATGGCAACTATCCTTAAGAGAAAATGAATTACCAACAATTCATGGAAAGACTATTTTGCTTAATAAAATTATGGGCAATAGGGACAGAATATCATTGGAAACTCTTGATTGTCACAGAAACATAGTTAAGTATAAAAATCAAATTGTAAAGGGGACAAAGTAAACTGAGGAGCAATATTGGAAGAAGACTCATCACCTCCACAATAGATGACAATCTTTTGCTGCTTCTGTAAGGAAGAAATAGGAAAAAAAGTCTCATCTGAAAGTTGTACTAGTAGATTTGAAAAAGATTGAAACATATCCTGCTTTATAACATATTTTAAAAAGCATGAGAAAGAGTGAAATATATCAAAGAATGTCCTACAAGGCAAATTTTTCCTTAAATCGCCCTTTTCTAAGTCCTGAATAGAATTACCCTGTTGTGATATCTTACTCTGAGACAATAGGTGAGAAAATAAAATATTATGGAATCAGGGTACTATACAGCATGGCAAAACACAGCTGATAACATACCCATGATGGCTTGTTGTTCCAATTTACCAGCTGAAGCCAGGTATTAGCAAATGACTTAAAAAGGTACTTAAACTCATTCCACTGAGCAGAATTTATGAGGAAATCACCATTTTTCATGTAGAATAACAGAATTGCAGATGTCTGAGATAACCAGAGCCAGACTGCCAGTTATCAGGAGACTGGATCAAAGAAGCAACTCTGCTTGGTTTTACTGTGTTTTGTGTCACTTACACAGAAGTCTTCCAGAGTACATTTCATAATATTTTTCACAAAATTACTTTTACTTGTTGCAGAATTTCTATTCAAAGAAAAATTTTTGAGAAGCTATTCCAGAAAAACACTGTAGGTAGACACTACATTCTGAATTAAGGTAAACTTATCACAAAAAAGTGCCTTTGCCTCAAAAGCATGCATTGTCCCAGAATTCTTTTTGTTTCAAGGCTATTGTGTAGAAGATATGATCTTGTAATGGTTAGAGTATATCTCAAAGAAGCTATTCTGATTTACTTTCTTATTGTCTAGAAAACCTTATTAATATCTCATCCAAATGTCAACTTTTTTTGGCTTTTTGTTGTTATTAAGTATTATTGCTCAAGATTTTTAGGTGAGGGCAATTATTTCATAGGCAAGATTACCTAGAAACAGTTGAAGATTTTAACATCATCAGTGGGAAAACAATGCAAAGTTTGTTGTATTATATGTAGAGTATATTCATTGTTCTTTTCTATTGGAACATTCTGTATGACTGGTTTTCTCTGCATTTTAAAGTCCTACTGGAATCAAAATAATTGCTTTTTTGTTTCTTTTGATTTTTAATGTAAATGTTACTAATGAATAATATATTTCTTTTTACTTCCTTAGCTCTGAGTTCAATATCTGTCAGACTCAGTGTTGATATTGTCTACACTGCACCAGCTTTGTGATTTATAGACCATCCTCCTATTATTTTCCAAGAGGCAAGTGTGTCTTACATTGCAAGGGAGTCTTTAGGACCAAACTAATCAGCATAATAGAGATAAACAGAGGTTGTAGTCAAGTTAGATTAACTTTCTGTAATTGAAAGAGTGCAAATGTTTTAAGTATTATTTTATATATGTATGTGTGTGTAGGTATTTACAATTTTATATGTTTGCCTGTATGAAGACCTATATACACCTCTTTGTCTCTATATATGTACATACACATATGTATAAAGAGGCAAAAGTACACATATGTAAGTATACATTTCCAGGAGTCAGTCCCTCTCATTTCTCCCTATGTGAATACACATATATATGTGTGTATGTACACATACATACAGATATGAATGCAGTCACAGCTATTGATGACAGAGAAAAACCAAGACTTTTTGGGAGGGTGTTAGTGTAACCATGATTTACATAGGCCGTTTCTACAAACGCCAGGGAGGTATTTGTTCCAGCTTAAAGCATGTATACTGAATGTATCACACATCTGCAAAAATCCAAAGAAAAAGCTGGAGAAGTTTTGAAAAAAAAAATATTTAAAAGCTTTTTTTTACTGCTAAGTTCTGTGCTTTATTTAGTAGTGGGGATGAATCTGTTTTCTAAGATACCAAAGGTGAGAAATTGTTATCTTAAAGTACTTTTATAATAGGTTAAGAAGTGTTCATACACATTAGAGATGTGAGAGTGGTGAGTCCTTCTGCTGGAAGCTTTTCCAGTGCCAGATATGAGCTCTGTGTTTCAGCAAGGCAGAGCTATCGTTCATGGTCTCCAGTAGAAGACTTTAATGTTATCCTTGAGGAAATCATCCCTCTTCTCCACCTCAGTGTAGGGTAGCTGTAGGGAAGACCTGAATGGCGTCTCCCTGCAGCAGCCCAGTATTTAGGAATGCTGTGGTGTACTTATGGGGGCAACGTGCACATGTGCACACGCACAGAGATGTGTGTAGTGTGTGTCATGGGCCTCAGAGGGATGCTGGTATCTCAGTGATGGATGGTGGTGGGTGTGTGTGTACTTGTACAGCTTTTTACAGTCTCTAGAATGGGCCAGCAGCAAGCTCTGGCATGACGGTCCCAGCACAGGGGAACGGCTGGCACAGGATCCCAGGCTCATGGCATTGACCCAGCTCTGGATGTAGCAGCAAGTAGAGAGGTTCAGTAAACACCCAGTGAGATTTTCCTGGGTTTTCACACAGGCAGTTAAATTACCTTTGGCTGATTTTTCCTGCCTGGTAGGTAGATGATCTAAAATAAATCAGAATGCAAAGCAAAACAGTCCCAAACCTTGCACATTAAATGCATGCTGAGCAACATCATCACAAAGAAATATGTGAAAGTAATATAAAAGCATGGTCCTCTACCTGCTCTTTGGCTGTCCAGCAACTCTTTGCTTTTTGGGGAAATGTTTTAAAGGTTTAAACAAAGACACAATGTTCATACTTACTAATTGTATTTATTTTGTCTTGCAAGGTAAGGAAGTCTCTCTCCCTGCATTTGACAGTGATAAAGGGAATCTGTGAAAGAAAGTCTGTTGTATAATTTCAGGGTTTAGAACTAGACATTGTGTGGTATTAAAAATATTTTATTGGTTTTACAAAGTTCAACTTTAGCAGAATTGTTTTCATTGACATTTGCAAATGA